TGACGTTGATCGATCAGCGCTGATCTCCCTAGCCTATCGGCCACCCGCTCGATCCTCGGATCGCTCACTCGTCGCAAATCGATCGACTGAGCTGTCAGCAAGGGGCTGCCTTTCCTTTTTTCGAAAACGCGCGCGCGCCCGTCGCCCGGCAAAACTGTCAGGTCCGCCGCGACGCGTCGCCGCAATGGCGGGCAGCGACGTGGTGCAAGCCATGCGGCTCGCCCTGGACTGCCCCGCACAGCCCGGTTGGCAGTAGGAGGCCCCGCCGGTGAGACCACTGATTTTGATGCCGACCATAAATTCTCGCAACTCGAACGCATGCTACTTACAGCTGCTGTCTGTACAGAGATGCCAGCACCCCCCAGCAGCAGAGCGCTGCTGCTGGGGGGGGGGTCCCGACCCCCCCAGCAGCAGAGCGCTGCTGCTGGGGGGGGGGTCCCGCCCCCCCCAGCAGCAGAGCGCTCCTGCTGGGGGGGGGGTCGGCCATGGGCTTAGGTGTGCAGGGGGGGTACCGAGCAGTGTGCGGCCGCTCTTAGCTCTTGGGGCCACCTTTCCGCTTTGGTTTTTTCCCCACTGACCACTCGGACAACTTTTACCAAATGCAAAAGTTGCACCTTACCATTCGGGCAAATTCGATTGCATTTTACCACTCGGGCAAACTCGATGAAACGGGCGGACGGAAAACGCGTTTGCGGCAGCTCGCCCGAGAGCTATGGCCTATGCATGAAGCGGCCCTATCCATCTGACCACTCATCGACGGGGCTTTGGCGAGCAGCCGCGCTGCGCCTGCGGGGCAGGGCTGGTGAGAATGGGCTCTGGCCACTCGCCCGTGCGGTTGTAACCGCGCATCAGCCGAACGGAGGCCTCGACCGCCCCTCGCGGCAAGCTCTCGAGCATCTCGAGCAGCTCCCCCGCCGCCATCGCCGCCTCGAACTGCTCCCTCATGCCGAGCGCGCCGCAGACCTTGCGTACAGCCTCTTGCTGCACCTCGTCCGGTAAATCGGTGTCGTAAATGCGACACACACAGCGCTAGCTCCAAAATTTCTTTTCTCGCAGTGACGCTTATCTCTTGTTTACTGCTGCTGCCGGCGCCACTTCGCCGACCGCGCTGTCTTGCCGGCGCGCACCACGCCCAGCCGCAGCCCGTACTAGCCCTCCGCGACACACACAGCGCTGCGGCGCCGACTCGCGCTCGGCTCCCGCCTTTGCCGCGCTCGCAGCAGCCGCCTCAGCGGCGCGAGCGCCGCCGACACGCAGAAAGCCCAGACACACGGCTTTTGGCCAGCTCCGCCGCGCGCCATTCTCGTCGGACCCCACAGCGCAAAGTCCGCGCTGACGCGCCACACGCGGCGTCACGCGCGCGGGAATGTCGGCGCTCGCCGCGGCGCGCGAGCCGATTCTGCGCAGACACAGCGCCTCTGCCCCTTGCAGGCGGAAATGCCCAAGGTCGGAAGCATCCCGCGCTCCGCCACGGTGGCGTGGTCGTCCTCCAACGAGCACTCTGGCTTGCTGGCGGCGGGCACCGTCGCGGGCGCCATATCGGACACGTTTGACTCCACTTCGCACCTCGATGTGCGTGACGCCTGCAGCGCCGGTCTCAGCGCTACGACTCCGCTCGACGCCCGCACGCACACCTCCTCCCCTCCCCCATCCGGCAGGTCTTCTCGCTCGACCTGCAGGGCGGCGCCGAGCTGCCGCTGGTCGGCTCGCTCGCGTGCAACGACCGCTTCAGCCGGCTGACGTGGGGCACCAAGGGCGTGGCGGACGGCTCGCTGCCGTACGGGCTGCTGGCGGCCGGCACGGCCAACGGCAGCGTGCAGATCGTCGACCCCGGCCGGCTCATCAGCCGCCACGACGCCCCC